AGGATTCTGTTCTCCCTCTCAGACATTTTACATTAGACGACTGATTTGATTGGATTTGCTTTCATTTCAAACATGGAAGAGGAGAACTAGCTGGGCAAGAAGCCAGAGGTTTTTTCTCTTGCCAAATTTTATTTGCAACGTAGGGTTAATGAATGACAGGGGAAAGGTGGTCACCCTGTCCTGCTTTTGGTCACCCCATAAATTGATCTTTTTATGTTCCGACCGGCATTTCCAATATTGTCGTCTTCCAGTGACTTGAGCCATCTCCGCCATGAAGTTCTGCGTCGTTTTCCTGGCTTTGGCCATCTTGACAGGTGAGTTTCTTCCTCCGTCTCTTCCTATCTTTCTCTTCTGCACCCTCACGTACCCTTCTGGCAAGAGAGATGAACATCCTACTCTTTTAATAATTAAAACTGCTGCTCATAGACTGCCCCATAACACTTAAAGCACTCTTGGGGCAATTTACTATTCAATTATGCAGGCTACCTTTTGCCCTCTCCCCATTCCAGCAAGATGGGCACTCAATTTACTCACCTCAGAAGGATGGAAGGCTGAGTGAACCTCAAGCCGACTGCTTGGGTTTGAACCCAGGTTGTGAGCAGAGTTTTCGTTGCAGTATTGCAGTTTAACCAGTGTCCCACAAGGCTATCTGGAAATAATCAGAATAATGTCCACAGAACTTCCACAGCTCATGTGTATTGATCATTTATGCTGCCACATGAAAGGTAGATGTTTGAAAAGTGCACCTTTTTCTGACATTGTGACTCAATAATTGGGACTCCTTCTTATACCATGATGAAAGGCACAGTTGTTGTTGTTGTTGTTGTTATCATCATCATTACTTGGCATGGATTTTTTTTTTCATTACAGCTGCCAGAATTCAGCAGGAATTCCCCTAACTAGAATTTTGATCATGTTAGCTTTTTTAAAAATTCCAAGTTCTGAGGAGAATTTTTGGATGCATATTTGTTCTTTACTCTGTAGCGATGGCCATTAAAATGTGGAGAAGTACGTGGATGGAGTTTTCTAAGTTCCATAGTAACTGCAAAGTATTAGAGCAGTGGTCCCCAACATTGGGCCTCCAGATGTTCTTGGACTTCACCTCCCAGAAATCCTGGCCAGCAGAGGTGGTGGTGAAGGTTTCTGGGAGTTGTAGTCCAAGAACATCTGGAGGCCCAAGGCTGGGGATTACTGCATTAGAGGACTGGTAGCTGTTTTTTAAAATGCAGCTTCTGTAGATCCTAAAGAACAGAGAGACTACTGGCCCCTAATGCTTTGTCGTTCCCAGGGAGCTTAAAAACCTCCACCATTGTCTTCATATCTGTTGCTGCAGAGAGAACCATAGCAAGGAACAGCTGTGTGCCCCAAATCTCCTATAAGAACATTACTGCTTTTTCTTTTGCTTTGTTATGTTTTGGATAGAGCTACCCGAATTCTACCTGGAGGAATACCTGCTGAATTCTGGGGACTGTAATGGGGAGTTTTGGACTCTGTTGGCAGTGGAGCTGGATGGCTCTTAGGACTGCCTTGTTGAGTCACCTCCAAAAGAATCGGCATACTCGCGCTTTGCCGAAAGTTTGGCCTGTTCCGTCTATCGCAGCAATGGGTGTAAAACTAGGCAATCCGCAGAAACTACCTATTTGGACTCTGCCATGTTCTCTTTCTGGTTCAGAATCCCAAGCCAACACAGTTTCCTCAATTTAACCTCTACCCCGTTGTCTAGGTGATTGCTCTGAGGTAATCCCACAACAATCCCCTGGCTCTAGGAGGGGCTGCTGGGGCAGAACTATCACAACTAAGCCCTTTGGTTTCAGTAAGAAGAACTTTCTGCAATGAATGTCTGATCCTCCAAACTAGAAATACAGATGGAAGCCAAGAAGCAGGGTATTCCAACCACCTGCAGATCTAGGTAAGGAAGCCAGCGGCTGAGGTGGGAGACGAAGGGTGTCTCTGTGACCAGTTACAGGACTTGGGTGAGAGGTATTGATAGTCATCTAGACCACTGGTTCTTAACCTTGGGTTACTCAGGAGTTTTGGACTGCAACTCCCAGAAGCCTTCACCACCTGCTGTCCTGACTGAGGTTTCTGGGAGTTGCAGTTCAAAAGCATCTGAGTAACAAAGGTTAAGAACCACTGATCTAGACCAGTGGTTCTTAACCTTTTTGAAAGAAACACCCCCTTGAGCCATTGAGGAAGTTATCATCGCCCCCCCCTCCCCACGGTGATGATATCTTTATTTATTTATTTATTTATTTATTTATTTATTTATTTATTTATTTATTTATTTATTTATTTATTTATGACACTTAAATGCAATGACCCCTGAAAACAAAACTCAATTCCAAGAAAATGAAATGCCCCCCCAAAAGTAACATTTAATGATTTAGTTCCAAGCGAATTTTAAAACTCTGAAACTAAATTAAGATTGGAGGAAAATATATATTCATGCACATTGTAAAAAGGCTGCAGCCATCTTCACAGGTTTGGCTTGCTCCAGCGCCCCCTCAATTCTAACTTATGGTGACCCTTTTCAGGTTTTCTTGACGCCCCCCTGAAAAATGAAATCGACCCCTGGGGGGCATTATCGCCCACGTTAAGAACCACTGATCTAGAGCCCCTGATATATGCAAAAGAATTCCAGGTTACTTATAGTTTCTGGTAGTTTCTGGAATGACTTGTTTCTGGAATGTTTCTGGAATGACTTGTAACTGTCTAATCAAGCAGGATGTGGAATCTGTGTGCCAAGGGGTCAAAGCAAAGCAAAGTGTGCTGCTTATATACCACCCCATAGCTCTTCAAGCACTCTCTGGGCAGTTTTCAAGTTAGCTATGCGGGCTACACATTGCCAGCAAGCTGGGTGCTCCTTTTACTGACCTTGGGAGGATAGAAAGTTGAGTCAACCTTGAGCCGCTACCTGGGATTGAACACTGGATCGTGAGCACAGTTTTGGCTGCAGTACAGCGGTTTAAACACTGTGCCACGAGGATACACCACAAAGGTACAGCCATTCCAATTTATAGGAATGCATGCAAAATTAAAATTGAAAACACAGAAGCAGAAGATTTCAGTCTCCTTATTAGCCTTGCAGCTGTTTCCTGGACTGTGGTATAAACTAGGAGCGAACAGGATCTTGAAACCATCGTAGATCACAAGCCGAACATGAGCCCACAGTGTGACGTGGCTGCAAAAAGGGCAAATGCTATTTTAGCCTGCATTAATAGAAGTATAGTCTGCAAATCCTGTGAGATACTTGTTCCCCTCTGTTCGGCACTGTTTACGCTCCCATCTTGAGTTCTGGACAACCGCACTTCAAGAAGGATGTCAAAAAACTGGATTATGTTCAGAGCAGGTAAGCAAGCACGATCAAGGAACCAGAAATGGAGGCCTGTGAGGAAAGACACAAAGGAGACATGTTTAGCCATTAGAAAAGACGACGGATGAGAGAGAGGACAGCACTTTTCAAATACTTGGAAGGCTGTCATACAGAGGGGTGGGGGACAGGATCCGTTCTTGATTGTCCCAGAGTGCAGGACACGCAACAATGGGCTCAAGTGACAGGAAGCTAGATTTTGGTTAAATATCAGGAAAAAACATCCTAACTCTCTAGTAGAAATAATGTAAGCTATTCCTTTCGGAGGATAACCTTCAGCACCATGGAAGGATTCTGTTCTCCCTCTCAGACATTTTCCATTAGGCGACTGTTCGATTTGATTGGCTTTGCATTCGTTTCAATTGTGGAAGAGGAGAACTAGCTGGGCAAGAAGCCAGAGGTTTTTTCTCTTGCCAAATTTTATTTGCAACGTAGGGTTAATGAATGACAGGGGAAAGGTGGTCACCCTGTCCTGCTTTTGGTCACCCCATAAATTGATCTTTTTATGTTCCGACCGGCATTTCCAATATTGTCGTCTTCCAGTGACTTGAGCCGTCTTCGCCATGAAGTTCTGCGTCGTTTTTCTGGCTTTGGCCATCTTGACAGGTGAGTTTCTTCCTCCGTCTCTTCCTATCTTTCTCTTCTGCACCCTCACGTACCCTTCTGGCAAGAGAGATGAACATCCTACTCTTTTAATAATTAAAACTGCTGCTCATAGACTGCCCCATAACACTTAAAGCACTCTTGGGGCAATTTACTATTCAATTATGCAGGCTACCTTTTGCCCTCTCCCCATTCCAGCAAGATGGGCACTCAATTTACTCACCTCAGAAGGATGGAAGGCTGAGTGAACCTCAAGCCGACTGCTTGGGTTTGAACCCAGGTTGTGAGCAGAGTTTTCGTTGCAGTATTGCAGTTTAACCAGTGTCCCACAAGGCTATCTGGAAATAATCAGAATAATGTCCACAGAACTTCCACAGCTCATGCGTATTGATTATTTATGCTGCCACATGAAAGGTAGATGTTTGAAAAGTGCACCTTTTTCTGACATTGTGACTCAATAATTGGGACTCCTTCTTATACCATGATGAAAGGCACAGTTGTTGTTGTTGTTGTTATCATCATCATCATTATCATTATCATTACAAATAGTAATATAATAATCATCTTAAAGCTGGAAGGGGTCCAATGGATCATCCAGTTCAGCCCCTGCCGAGGAGGCTCACTGGGGAATCGAACTCCCAGCCAGCGGCCAAATCACTGAGCTATCCAGCAAATGGGGAAGTTTGAGTTGCCAAATTTGTTCATAAACTGCTGCTGTGCTTATCTAATATTGTGTGCTGCCCTTCTAACTGTTCTGGAAATGCCACAGAGAGAAGAGAAAAGGGGGACTGAGTGATTACTGTCTAGAAAAAGTCAATTATTTAATTACAAGGAGCTCCGTCTGTGATGGACCATGTTGCTTTAATATTTGTCTGTTTCTAAGAGAGGACTCCTTATTCTTTTTTTTTCTGCATCAATTCATCCCCTATCCTTTGGATCCGTTAGAATTCTAAGGGGGCATACAATCCAGAATATAAAGTACAGCAACAAGCAAGAAAATAACTAAAAACAGCAAACATGGAGAAAAGGAGCAATGGGCATGAACCCATCTCACAGTTGATGAAAAGACTGAGTGTTTGAAAAACAAATCAGGAAAAACAAAACTTCCGTGCCAAGCCGAGAAAAGATCAAGGGCTCAACACTGGACATATTTTGGGGCATTGGGCAGGGGTCCATTGAAGGAGGGTCACAACTAAAAGGCTGTTTCCCTGGTTTCTGCCCACCTTACATCAGGAGTTGTGGGTTACCCATGGTCTCACATTTATCCGCACAACATAGTTATAGGCACTTTAGTACCAATCTAACTGCCATGTCCCCACCTTATGGATCTGGAGATGTTTTCTGTCTTCTGCCAAATGGTGTTTTTGTGCATTTCTTTGAACAGAGGAGAGAAATCTCAAGTTCCTCCCCAAACTAGAAGCCCCAGGATTGCCTACGAGGCAGCCTGGGCAGTTAAACGGGTATGTAGATCGTAAAGCGTAGATGCTTTCCCAGATTATTGTTAAATAAAACCCATAGCAATGACTTTGGTCATCTAGGCTGGCTTTGCTGCCCTTCCTTCCTCTTCCTGCAGGTTCCGAGGCTGCTTCTCTTAACGACGAGCCCGCCAGACCATGTCTGGAGCAGATCCACAGCACCATCCAGGAGTATCTCGACAAGGCTACCAAAATGACCGCAGAAAACTTGGAGGCAATCCGTAATTCAGAGTTCGGCAAGGAGCTCAAGTAAGCGGGCCAAAGGGAGTTGGCAAAGGCTGGGCCAAACGGCCAACGGTCCGTCCTCACCACTGCTCCATCGCTCCCCTCCTCTCCTGCCCCCCAATTACAGGTTGTCCTGACCCAGCACAAGGTCGGCATCCCGTGGATGTTGACTTTGATAACAGAAGCACCGCAAAGCCTTAGGGAGGGATACGGTGCCCTCAGTCCTGTTTCAAGAGTTCCAGGAAAGCACAGAGAGGAATGTGTGCCTTCTCATTATTACCCCAGCATTGTCTAAAAAGATGGTGTTTGTTAGATAGACGGTTCAGGATATCCTGAAGATCAACTTGGAGGGTTAGTCCACCTCTTATTTGGAAACAGAGGGTATGGGGGCAGGATTTAAAGAATACTGCCTATGGCGTTTGCTCTCATCAGTTTAGACCGTCTTAAGTACACGAGACAGTCCAAAGAGGAATTTTCGAAGTGCAAATCAAATCAGAGTTGCATCAGAATAAACAAACTACAGTAGGACCCCACCTGTCTCAAGGGGATCAGGTCCAAGCCTCCTGCTGCAGGTTCTGAAAAACACAGATTACAAAAACACTACAGCGGTGCCTCGCTTAATGATTACCTCGTAAAACAACGAATCTGCTTGACGGTGAGGTTTTTGCAATCGCTTTTGCGATCGCAAAACGATGTTTCAATGGCCAAAAATTGTTTTACGACGATCGGTTCCCTGCTTCGGGAACCGATTCTTCGCATTACGATCTGAAAACAGCTGACCGTCGGGGTTCAAAATGGCCACACGCTGTGCAAAATGGCTCCCCGCTGTTTTTAGGAGGCATTTTTCACTTTACAGGCACCAGAAAATAGCCGTCCTATGGAGGATCTTCACTGGAAGATTAGGTATTTAGCCCATTGGAATGCATTGAACCGGTTTTCAATGCATTTCAATGGGTTTTTTTATTTTCGCTAGAGGAGGATTTTGTTCTACAGCGATTTTGCTGGAACGGATTATCCTCGTCAAGCGAGGCACCACTGTACTGTACAGTATTTTAATTGTGCATGCTATACATAGCATGGTCTCTGCCTCCCCTTACTGGTTAGTTCTGCTAATGACACGATAGAAATCTATTTCTGTAGTAAACACTATACAGGTACATGCTGTCTGGCTCCATCTAATGGCCAGTTCTAGTAACTCGTCTTCAAGGGAGCTCTGACTCTAATGATGTGTTAACTGTATTGCTTTAGTTACTGTTTTCAACTTACTATCCAAGCAAATTTCACAGGTTCACTAAAAGTATTATGTGAAGAAGCACTTGTTTTTGCCCATCCCACCATTACACTGTAGGGATCATTCAGGTGCAGCTCTTCTCAACCTTTGTTCTTCCCGATGTTTTGGATACCAGCTCCCGGGAGTCCCAGCCGGTGTCAAGGATGGTCAGAGATTCTAGGAATTGGAGTCCAAGACATCCAGAGGACCAATGGTTGAAACCAAGTTCCCTAGATGGAAAAGAAGAAGCAAGGCTGAACACCGTGTGCCTGTCCATTTTTCCCCCATGCTAACCTGTTCTTCTTTCTCTGCAGCACCCGTATCGCCACCAGCATCAACAATGCCAAACGTTATCAGGAGGAACTGCAGAAGCAGCTTCCCCCAGCGGCCCAGGACATGGTCCAAAAGGCCATCACCGACCTGCGGGAGCTGCAGCAGAAAGTACAGCCTGTGGCCGAAGACCTGAACCAAAAAGTGCAGGGCGGCATCAGCACGCTGCGGGAGCTGCTGGCCCAGGTGGAACAGCACGCCAAGACGGTGAGGCAGGCCCTGCCCTCCGGCGCGGAGCTGGCAGCCAACCTCAAGAAGAACATGAAGGAGGTCCGTTCCCAGCTGGAACCCTTCGCCGAAGACCTGAAGAGCAAGATCGAAGAGTTCCGACAAGGGGTGGAGCCCTTAGCCCAAAAAATCCAGGGAAGCCTCAGCGAAGGCGTCGAGCAGGTCCACCAGAACTTGAAACCGTATGCCGAGGACTTCCAAGAGAAATTCAACACCGCCTGGTCCTCCATGCTGGAGCGGTTCCAGTGAAAATCTGGCCCAGCAATCCAGGTCGGGGAGGGAACAGATGCCCCTGGAAAACAGCATCCTCTAACTTGCAACATCTTGTGCCTGTAACCATCCCCTTCCTGGAGCAATAAAAGAACAAATGATGAGTTCTCAATGTTGTCTCTGTGAGTTTTTTTGGGGGGGGGAGGACTGGGAGGTTCGAGGGGTGACGAGCCACTGTGGATGTTCACAGTGAAAGGAGACTGAAAAATTATCATCATTCCCATCTTCGAACTGCAGAGGTGGAACGGACCCTATGGGTCACCGAGTCGAGTCCTTCTCAAAGAGGCCCGGTGGGGAATCGAACTCCCAACCTTTAGTTCTGCAGCTGGAAGCCTTAAACCACCAAGCTCTCCAGCAGTTCAGATGTGCATGCATCCTTCCAGTTTTCTTCCACTGGCCCACTCACTCTGGGCTTTCTAGGATGCCTCTTAAAGAAACAAAACATAGAGTAAAACTTTGAAGAGTTGCTTTAAAAAAACAATAACTATTGCTCCCAGAATCCCCAGCCGTGTTTCAGTTAGAGCTTTTAGGGGTTTCTGCTGAGCAAACCAGTATATGTAGGACAACTTCAGTCGTTTTGTTTACTTGTGTTCAGGCCACCAATCAACAGTAATTTGGAAGAATCTTCCTTGTGAACCAGATTCGGAATTTCTTCTCCACTTACCTATGATGGTAACCCATGACACAATGATGGCCAGGAACGTCCTCATGGTGCATTGAGTTTGGCAAAGTTTTGGAAGCTCAGGTTGTGTCTGAGCAAGGAAACCTGGAAGGGGATAAAGGTTTCCTTGCTCAGACAACAAAAGCAGCTGTAAAGGATCCCTGGGGGTGTATGGGGGAATTAGAAAAGCTGTGGGGAAGGGGGCAGAGTCACGCATGCTCATGCGGTCGCGCACCTTAGAGGGAACCATGCTCCTGATATATCAAGGTGAAGAGGAACTGTAAAGGATCCCTGGGGGTGTATGGAGGGAACCATGCTCCTGATATATCAAGGTATCGATAAAAATTAATTTTTAAAATTTTTTTGCAGAAACCAAGAGGCTAAGTTGCCTCTTGAAGCAAGAGAGAAAATATAACCGGTACTATGGGGTAGCGAGCCATAACGATTGAAATAAGAAATTAACGGGTCCTGCTAAAAGGTCTTGGGACGTTCATCGCAGGATAGAAACCGCTTGTCTATGGTTCAGTACAACAGAGATATGGAAAGTATTGCGGACGTTCGTCGCAGGATAAAAACCGCTTGTCTATGGTTCAGCACAACAGAGATATGGAAAGTATTGGAAGAACTAGAAAACATTTCTGCCATATAACCAGGGTCTGCGTTGTGGCTTCAGTGCAAAAGTGCAAGAAGACATGGGGCCATCTTGTCATGGATACCAGTCTTCAGTTGAAAACATTTCCACCATGTAACCAGGGTCTACGTTGTGGCTTTAGTGCAAAAGTGCAGCAGAATGAAGCAAGAAGACATGGGACCATCTTGTCATGGATACCAGTCTTCAGTTAGTGAGAGACTTCAGTACGGAAGACGACAACTGGGAAGAGGCCATTGGCAAAGGACCCCTTGAATTAACTTCTGGACAACGAAGGAGAAACAAACACAACATAAATCAGTGGCTGCCCAGGCATTGTTGGGGACGTATCCTTTATTACATCAGCTGTTGGGGTTTGTTTGTTTGTTACAAATCACCATGCACCACATTATTTCAGTCACCCCGGCCACACCGCTTTTCTTTGGAGATCAACAATGCATCGCTCCTCCTTACTCATGGAAAAAAAATAATCACGGGTCTGGGGGAAATATGGGGGCGTGAACCCACTCCCAAAACTCTGTTTGGTGTTTTTTGCTCTCCTCCAGAAGGGGTTTAAGGTAAGGATTCAGGTTCTTGTGGAGAGCCTCCAGCCCTTGTCTGATACGAGTCAGCGTTTGGTCGGCGGCAGCTTGGAGAGTCGGTTGAGCGTCTTCCAACTTCTTAAGATAAAAGAAGAGCTGATCGTCGAGAGGTTTAAAATACTCCGGCAATTTCGCATCTATGTATCTCAGTTCGTCATTGAGGATAGGTCTGAAGGACTCGAAATAGGGTTCCAATCTCTCCAGGACTGAGTCAAAATAATACGACAGTCCGTCTATCAGTGGTTCTTCGATGTCCTGCTTGTCGTTCAGGTCAATTACAGCACGATAGGTTTTCCTGATGACACCTTCTAATACAGCACCCACCAACTCCAATGGTTCTTTGATCTCTGATGGAATTTCTCGGCGGAAGTTACTCAATTGTCGGCTTACATTATGGTACAGGTCTCTGCAGAATGATGGAAAAACAGAGGGAAAGGCATCGTTCAGTATTTCAAGCACATGGCTTGACTCAAACAGTGTTGAGATTTGAAAGCAAACGTCTTGTACTTTTAATTTCTGCCCTTTACAAAAGGCCAAAAGCTTGGAGGGATACGACCTATCCATGGAGATCAGGAGTAGATGACTTGGTACCCGTACTTTTAATCTCTGCCTATCGATGGAGATCAGGAGTAGATGACTTGGTACCCTCAAGCTGGAGCCACCCATCATTCACCATACAGTTTAAGAGAGGCGTAACCCAAGATACCTGCAGAAGAGCAGGTCATTCAACCATTTGGGGGTGGGGGGATAATAGAAGGATCCTAATTTACAGAGAGTGGGGTCATTGTTCAGATTTAATCAAAGAATGTCAGTTGTGAGGATATTTAGAGTGTAGCATCTCTACGCTGTTTTAACATAGCGATTCCGCCTAAGGAATCATGGGAGTTGTAGTTGGGAGAGGGAACTGGACTGGCCTTGGCTAGAGGACTCCATGTCCATTCATTCAACCACAGGAGAGACGTCTACACCCATCACCAGATGACCAATCCTACAATTTCACAATTCCTATGGGAAATTTTGCTTCAACTTAAGAACCTTTCAACTTAAGAACACCATTCCAAAACGGATTAAGTTCTTAAGTAGAGGTTCCACTGTAGTTTCTATGGACGGAAAAGAGCAGATACGGATTAAATGGTTTCAATGCATTCCTATGGGAAATGCAGATTCAACATAAGAACTTTTCAACTTGAGAACCACCTTCCAATACGGATTAAGTTCTTAAGTAGAGACCCCACTGTACAGCTTATGGGAGCCGTAATCCAAGATACCTGCAGAAGAGCAGGTCATTCAACCATTTGGGGGGTGGGGGGATAATAGAAGGATCCTAATTTACAGAGAGTGGGGTCATTGTTCAGATTTAATCAAAGAATGTCAGTTGTGAGGATATTTAGAGTGTAGCATCTCTACGCTGTTTTAACATAGCGATTCCGCCTAAGGAATCATGGGAGTTGTAGTTGGGAGAGGGAACTGGACTGGCCTTGGCTAGAGGACTCCATGTCCATTCATTCAACCACAGGAGAGACGTCTACACCCATCACCAGATGACCAATCCTACAATTTCACAGGATGGAATCCAGGTAGCTAAAGTGGAAGCCAACACCAAGTCTATGCAGGGTAGCTATCAAACATATACAGTAATGGATTTGCTTACGACAATTCCGGGGCTGTCTTGCTTCTGTCTGCCATACCCCAGATGACTATGGATAACATTGGAAGTCCCTTGAAGGAATCCCTCAATTCCTTCACCTTTGAAACTCGCTCTGGTGCTGCGGAAGCCCGGGATCCTGGAAGATAGAAACAGCCTGCAAATTGTCTTGCCCACTAAAGGCATCGGATGGTTCTTTTGTCCAACAAGGGGCTATGAATTCTTAGCTCTCATTTGGAAAAATGCACAACTTCCTTAAAGTTTCCTGGAATTCAACCGAGCCCTAGGGCAATCTCCATGTCTGTCCAACCATCAAGGATTAACCTGATTGTTCAGCTGTTGACACTTATATTCTGGAAATCTGCCTCCCTTTTTTCTTTCTTCCTGTTCCACTGGTTGAAGGTTACATTCTCTTTGCTCATCCCATGTGACTTTATGGTTTCGTAGAATCTCCCCAAATGATTGTTGAAAACCACGAACACACGAATCAGAATTATTCGCGTGCTTATGCATTAACATGAAGCTCAATTACCCTTATGGAATTAATGTCAGCCGGAAAATCCATTTTTGAAATGCCTTGCCGCTACCCTAAAGCAATACAGGTTGAGGTCCATTTGAATACAGTATTGGAAAAAAGAGCAATTAAGATCAATTGGATTTTGGGATTAGTTATCTCAGGGGTGATGGGCTGTCTCTCGGAAGAGATCTCCAAGCAGAGGCAGGCAGGCAGGGGAAAAGGGGAAGGGGAAGGGGAAGAAAAGAAGAAAAGAGCTGATGATGGATAGAAGGAAGGAAGGAAGGAAGGAAGGAAGGAAGGAAGAAGAGGGAAGAGGGAAGAGGGAAGAGGGAAGAGGGAAGGGAAGAAGGAAATGAAAGAAGGAAAGGAAAGGAAGGAGTGTAAAATCAAACTCGGATTTGCACCTGAACATATCTTTAAACATCAGTTTCTCTTCTCATTTTGAAGGCTATTCCTCCTTATGAAAATGTTACCAAAATCCGTACAAAATACAGAAATCCACTACTCTGCCTGAGATTCCGTGCTGAAGCTTTTGCTGCTGTTCTTTTTAACGCCAACTGAACGTTTCCTACCTGGACGTTGCCACTGCATTCACTTCAAAAGGAAGTGCCATAGCTCTTAATTTCACCCTCTTGCAATAAAACAACATTCAACACAGATTGTGCTTTCCGCCGGGACAGAAAGGAGGGAAGACATGTTGTGTGTGTGTGTTTTAAAAAGCAGTACACTAAATGAGATAAACTTAACACCCTATGGATCACATGGAAAATATCAATAGGTATACAGTAGGTCTGGAAAACAGATATACCATCTGGAAGAATCCTGTGTCAACTCTCTACTATACAGTATCAAGAAACAGTTTTTAATATTTGGAACTGTTGTACTGCAATTGACTTTCAGACTAGCATCTTGAGATTCAGTGTCATTTGAGAAAAGGGACATCTACGTCAGATCCTCTTACATCCTGCCATCACAAGAAAAATGCTGAGATTGAATGTCTTCAGCTCCCTCTGTATTTCCCCACCTGTCACACAGAAAAGAAGATTCCAGAGTAATTCCAAGTGTTTTTCGATCTCACACCCACCCACATAAACACCATATCTCTCCTGCATGGAGGAGGATCAGGAAGAGAGAATGAGCTGTTTACAATGTGTGAATTTACAATTGGATTTCTGCACAATCTCTTTCAACCTAGTGGTTCGCCACCGTTACATGGCTAATGTTGAAAGTCTTGCATTGAAATGTTGGTAACGTTTTGCTAACTTGGAAAAACGTCGGGAGAAAATTTCCAGTGAGGTTTGTCATTTGGAAAGAGTGACTAATCTTCCTTGCAAATAGGGTGAAGGGGAGGATCCAGATCTCACACGCAGGTGTATCGAAAACCTAGCGACCTTGATCTCGTGAATGTGAAACCACCAAGATCCAGGGAATTTCGTGAAAAAGGTCACTAAAGGAGGAAGAGAGATCGCTCATCATCTGAAATGCATGCTGGCCGTCGGCTGCTTTCCCTTCTGGATAAATTGGGGCAGCAGTAAGCTTGATTTTAAAATGGTTTAGTTTTAGTTTGCAATGAAAACCAGTCCCATGGTCCTGTAGAAGAGAGTTTGGAATTTCCTCTCCACTCACCTGTGGTGATAACCAACGCCACAATGAGGACCAGGAACTTCATCATGGTGAGTCTGGAAGCACTGGGAACTCAGGCTGTTTCTGAACGAGGTAAACCCAGGTGGGGATAAAGGGCCCCTTTCTATCTTTGCCTCTGATCATTCATTAACCCACGTGGCACAGGACTATGGCATCTTCATCCATGCCCAGTAATTTTGTCCACCACGTCCTGTGTTGACAGACACCAGGTCTAGAACCAGAGGTCTATGAACTGACATTGAATAAATGAACAAACAAGAGAAGATACAAAATGGGAAGATCCTGCCCTGTAATTTGTGACATAACGGGAGTGAGGAAAGGAGCAGGAAAGTGTAAGGAATAACAGAAACATGCACAATTCCTCCCCATTCTGTGATGAGATTCGTTCTGAGAGTTTCACCCAACTCCTTGGTTTCTCAGAAGGCGAGGTGGCCTCTGTAGATCTCTGTGGCTCTCCCTAAGAAAGGCTCTCCTGGGCTCTATGGAACATCGGGGCAGCCTCTGAGGGGTTCCAAGGACACCACTCAGCTCTGTGATTGATCGGACGATGGGATGATGGTGGCCTCTATACATGAGGTTCCTTCACAGACCAGAGTGGTGGCTTCCGGGGATGAGAAATGTTTCTATAATCTTGGTGGGCTCATCACCACGACCTCCCAGAAAGGAGCGAGGAAAGAAAGGAGCAGCAAAGCCTGAAGTAATAATGGACGAGATTCATTCTGACAGTTTCACTCGATGCCTCGGTTTCTCAGAAGGCAAGGGGGTTTCTTCCCACAAGAACTATTGAGAAGTAGTTCATCATTCAAAACCACCCCCTAAATATCTCACTTTCCTTGAAAGCAACATGAGGTTTGCGATGAATTAGTGCTGACTTCACGGCGCATAACATAACATGACATTTTA